CAAGGGTGTATGGCATATCAAAGTTTTGTTGGATTGGATAGTTCATTGGCAATTGAAAAATGGCCACAACCTGGACTTGAATTAATGTGGCAAATTCCAGATCCACCTATTTGTAAAAAAGAAGTGGATTGTGATGTGTTGAAATATTCTAGGTGTTTGGTTGATCCTAAAAATGTTGGAAAGAAGAGGTGTTTTTGCAAGTCTGGACACTATTGGGATGCACAAGGATATTGTCAAAGTAAGTATAGTTCATCTCATATATACTTGATATTCTCTATGTTACGTGAACGTGTTTGAATGAATACGAAATTTTGAAGTATAAAAATATACACTTTTGAAACTTCGTATCTTTAGTATACATACATTCATATTTGTGCATGTAACAGTTCTGGTTGGCTGGTTTAATTGTTAAATATTGTCTGACTTATTTTTAACTAAAAAGACGCAACTCATTTTTATAAAGTCCCTAACTTTCTTCTTTATTTTAATATGGGTTTCGTTTAAGGTGTAATGTGCATTCTTTCCTTCTTGAAAGACTTACCCTCTGGTCTCCACCATGGGCGTCACAATATAGTTATAATATTATGCTACTAAGGATAAAATGGAAAATTAAAGTCAATTTATTTATAAGCATAAGAAGGTGTTACTTTTTGAAAGTTTTAAGTTATGTATACATCATTAAAATGTAGTATTTGCACCATCAATTCACATTTACATGTAGTATCTATAATACAATTTATTTTCATTTTGAAGATAACAAATCTTACCTTTTAAGAAGATTTATCCGTAGGTATCTTTGAAGTGACTTGATAATAATAATAAATTTATAAAATAGCGGTATATATTTAACTTATACACTTTTTTTTAGTTAGTTAAAGTAGACTAAAATGGAAATAATGTAGTGTCATGTTAGCTACTACTAAGCTCATATCAGGTGATATGTAATTAAATTAAATATTTTTTTATTCACGTAATTTCTTTATATATTTTTCTTCTTTTTAGGATAAGATAAAAAAAAATAAAGGAAATGTTCAAAAGGCAAAAACTTAGGCCAAAAAATAATAATCTGTTCTAGCATTACAAAAATTAAAGTTAGGGGATCCTATGGGCATAGAACATGGAATTTGTTTCTTGATATACCAAGATTATGTTGCTGATTTCGATGTATATTCCTATTTATTTATTTTTATCTAGACACACTAAGATATATTTAACTTAAAAAACTAATGTAAAACATACACCCTCTATCGCAATTTATGTGACATAATTTAATTAGACCAAAAATATTTAAGAAAAAGTTAGTGAAACTTGTGATGTAAATTAAAATAATGTATAGATATTTGTGTGACTAAAAATAATCTTATTTAGGATAAAGAAAGTGTGACATGCCTTTTGAGAATTAAGATAGATTAAAAAAAATATGTCACATAAATTATAATGGAGAAAATATATGTCATTCATGAAAATCAAAGTTTGAGCATTCTTGACTAGACTTAAAATTAATGTTGTAATTAGTTATAGGTCCATATATTAATTCTGGACAACGTAGATTAATTAATAAATATAATACTCGAAGCAAAACAAATTTCTCAAGTGGACCACACACACACACACACACACACACACACACACACACACATATATATATATATATATATATTTGGATTTCAAAAAGAAAGGAATTAAATAATTAGTTGTTCATTTAATTTGTTTATGTACTTTAGTTTTTTCTAAAGAAAAACTATGGTATAAAATTCTTTGGCTATTGTTTAGGGATTTGTAGTAGATTTTGTATCCTTGCTTCCTGCCCAATCTAATTTACATTACATGGCTGGCTGCCTAGTGAAGATTTAAGAATAATAATAAATGAAATAATTATTTTATTATATTATTTCTAGTTAATTATTATTAAGATAAATCATATAAATATTAAAAGATGATAGTAGTATTTAATTAAATATAAATACAATATGTATAAAATGATAAGCATATTTACATAGTTGGATGTGATCAAATTTTAATTAAAATTTGACTTATTAACAGTTTAAGAAATTATCAATTATATAGATAAACACGAATTAAAAAATATTTAAAGTCAATTTGACTAATTTTTGTTTCTTAATTTACACAGAATGTCGACATGGCACAGCTTGCAAAATTCGAAGGAACAAAGCGCCTCTTATTGCAGGTTCTCTTTTTTTGTTAATATATTTTTTATTTCTTATTTTTATCTACTTCAATCACTTATCCAATTATTCCCTCACTTGACTATCAGTTGTTTCAATTAATCATCTGAATATAATAATAAAATATTTTTATTAGATACGTCACAATCATTTTTTTAAAAAAAAACTCGTGTGTATTCTTAAATACCTATTAGGTAGTTAATTTGACAACATAAAATATGTCATCTCCTTTAATTATACGCGTAAGTCTGAACTGAAACACGCCGGAGGTTTTATAGCTTATTGAGGTTAACACATATAATCAAAAGAGATAACATATTTTAACTGATTAACTTATTTACCTAATGGACTATCGAGAACACGAGCAATTTTTTTTTCAAAATTTGAATTAAAAGTGTATACTTAGAAATTAGAAACATTTTATCATGTGTTCAGACGTTCATCATGAACCGGAACAAGCTGTAGTTTGAGTGTATTATAATTAGTGCTAACATGTATATATTTTTTTGTTTTATTTTCAGTTGCTGTTATATCAGTGCTTCTCATGCTCTTAGGTGGATTTTTAGTCCACAGACGTTACCTAATAAAAAGAAGAACAATAAGGTTACTTGTCAAAGAAAGAGAAGAAATATTAAGTGCAAATACAAGTGGAAAATCAGCTAAAGTTTTCTCTGGCAAAGAAATAAAAAAATCAACAAATAATTTTGCCAAAGAAAATCTTTTAGGCACTGGTGGATTTGGTGAAGTATTTAAAGGTAATTTAGATGATGGTACTATAGTTGCAGTTAAAAGAGCGAAACCCGGTAACGCTAAGGGCACGTTACAAGTCCTTAACGAAGTTCGAATTTTGTGCCAAGTGAACCATCGTGGTCTAGTGAGACTACTCGGTTGTTGTGTCGAGCTCGAGTTACCTCTTTTAATTTACGAGTATGTACCTAATGGTACGCTTTTCGAACACCTCCATGTGTTCCGTCTCCGCAAGCGGGCCCCACTTAGTTGGTTGAGGCGTCTAGTGATCGCTCAACAAACCGCGGACGGACTCGCGTACCTACACTCGTCGGCCGTTCCACCAATTTATCATCGCGATGTTAAATCAAGTAATATTTTACTAGACGATAAGTTCGATGCTAAGGTTTCAGACTTTGGATTATCGAGATTAGTCGAGCTGAGCGAAAGTGAGAACACTCATATCAACACATCTGCTCAGGGTACATTGGGGTACCTCGATCCTGAATACTATCTGAACCTTCAACTGACAGATAGGAGCGACGTTTATAGTTTTGGAGTTGTGCTTCTAGAACTTTTGACGTCTAAAAAGGCGATCGACTTCAATCGAGATGAGGAAGATGTGAATTTGGTAGTGTACATGAAGAGGATCATGGATGGAGAAAAATTGATGGATGTAATTGACCCTTTTATTAAAGATGAGGCAAGTAAAGTGGAAATTGAGACAATTAAGGCTGTAGGGAACTTAGCCTCAGCTTGTTTAGATGAAAGGAGGCAAAATAGGCCATCAATGAAAGAAGTATCTGATGAACTTGAGTATGTTATTGGTATTGTTAGTGGCCAGGCTTCAAAAAGTTAGATGGATTATTGTAATTTTTGGTTTAATTAATAGAATATGGTGTCATCTTTGATTTTGTTACAAGCTAATTTTGTTTTATTACATATTCATAACATGAATCATTTTCTTCTATATATTTGTATTGATCTAAATCTGAAATGCTCTCAATTTTAATGAACACTCAAGGGTGTTGCCTAGTGATAAACCAACGACTTGGATTAAGATTCATGAGTTTTGAGGTTTGAAGTTCAATAGAGACAAGAATACTAGCTGAGTCCTTCTCATCTGTCCGAATCTTGGTGGAAATAAATATCAAGTAATTGTGTTAGTGGGAGATAACAAATACCTCATAACATTAATCGAATGTGTGCAAGTTGATCCGATCACCTCGATTATAAAAAAAAATCACAGGTTTAAGTTACCCACAGCAGGTTTTGATAATAAAGACTTCAAACAGATGAGTTATTATTTGTTAAAATGAAATAACCGAAGAAATATTTAGACTAAAAAAAAAAACTTGAAAATAAAAAAATAATGGCCCATGCAGGTCTCGAACCTGCGACCTTCGCGTTATTAGCACGACGCTCTAACCAACTGAGCTAATGGGCCAATGTGTTCAAAGATCTATTGTTTACTATTAAATATGTAATTTGTGTTCTCATCAGGGCAAACAATTTCTTATTTTGACATAAAGAAGAGCTTTAAAAAGGGAAATTGAAATTTCTTAGTTAAAAACAATTAGTAATGATAATTTGGAAGTTCTACCTATCATTTTCTCAACATATTATGCACTTAATTAAGACTTGTGTTACTTTATAAAGAAAAAAAAACCGCACATTTGTTCATTGATGGAACAACTATGCTCTATATTAGAACTGAAATTAACACAGATGATGCCTGTTGTGAAAACATTTCCATCAACCTGTGAAATTTATTCAAAGCCAGAACATAATTAAAAAAAACACGTTTTCTACTTGTTTCATCGATGAGAATGAAGCAATGTAGAATTTTATTTACTTCTTGATATTTTAAGCCCGTAGTGAAAATCCTGACTCCACCGCGGACAACAAGCCCACTTTTATCAGATACTGCTGCAGCACTACTACTACTACTACGTAAAAAAAAAAGGATTAGAGTTTTACAAACCAATGTGCAAAAAATGTGAAGGAAATCTTTAGGATGTAGCTATAATAAGGCAGGGAAGATTGATAAGTAGCTGAAAGTAAGCAAGAGGTGAATTTACGATACAGAATACGAATAAATACAAAAATTAAGAAAAATGTGCTACAATATATTAGTAACTGCACAGTTGCCTGAGAAAGGATTAGAAGTCCAACGTATCGAAGCAAGCAATCTTCATCCCTCTGTATAGTAAGTTGAGCAGAAACTGATGACACTTATTCTGATAAACGTAGAGATGCACGATGATTGATTTATGGGTGAATGAAGCGCGTCTGTGTCCACCATTGAATCTCTTTTGTTTTCCTCCTTCACAAGAGTGTTCTTATGAACCTCAGAGACGAGCCTTGATTAGGGATGCATGTCTACATCATTGTCTGCTATTGTTGTGATTAGGCCCTCGACGAAGTTCAGATCTAGACTTAGAGACTTCTACAAAAATTACCCTGCCATCCAGAAACTGAGAAGGGCAGTTTGTTAGAATTATACTCAACAAACAAGAATTCCATGAAGTAACAATGATAGTTAGGGATAATTACCATGTAGCATTTTGCAAATGAGGATAGAAGACTGTAAAGAAAATGCATTCGTATTTTATGTATGGAGATGCACGAGATGAATTTGAGAACGGAAGTTGAGGTTGCACATACAAGAAGCAGAAGGTAACTTCACACTTAACACGGATTAAGTTAGCATTCACAACCCCATAAATTTGGCTTATTGACTGAAATATGATTAGAACAGTTGGCTAGTACAGACTACAGAGTTTATCCGAACTCCAAAAGATGACATTTTCTTCAAATAATGATAGAAAGGTAAGTCTACTTCCCTATGCAGGTGTATGAAGAAGTTAATTTTATTAAAATACAACTTATCATCATGCAAATCACACTATTTATTGAAAATTATTCGACCATGTCACACAAAAATGACTTGCTTCACTGATGACCAGTAGCCGATCTTCCACACACAACCATTACTATGCCTCAATCCCAAACAAATAGGGGTCGACTATATGAATAATTTAGTGTCATCTCTTCAAGAAATGCTCATTTGCAATAAAAAGTTTGTTTTAGAGCCCTAATGATGACATTGAAGCACACATTAAGTGAGGCAAAACGCTTAACATGTTTTGACCCTCGCTTCAGGGCTTAAAAGCGTGCCTTTAACAACACTGAATAAAACATTAGTTTGTTTTATATGAGTCTTTCATTCAGGTCCTCTTTATTTGGCATCCCATGTTCGTTTAATGAGAGGCTCATTTCATGACTTTTGAAAAGGATTTCATGTTATATGCCAATATATTTTCAGTACACAATATCATCAAGAATGAAGGATATGTCCGAGTTAGATTCTATTTAGGCAAAAATCAATGTTGGTTTAAGATGCTAATTACCTTGCCATGCATTCCCTCAATTGCTTTCTGTGATTCCTCCTCCGTAGCATAACGAATGAAGGCAAATCCTCTTGGTCTGTTCGCTATTTTGTCCATCATCAAATTGACTGCGAAATTGAAGATACATACATGTTTTTTAGAAATTCATAACAAATTAATCATCCGTAAGATAGCTGCAAGTTTTACTCAACTGCATGAGTGTTCAGTTCTGGTTAACTTTATCAACAACAACATTTGCCATATGAGTGTCCTTTTTTCGCTAATACTCGTGGAGTAGCGGGATAAGATACAACATAATAACCACAGGGTACAAACAAAATTTGCCATATAATGAGTCATGAGTGGTAAATATGTGTGAATGATTTTGAAGTTTGAAATTTGAAACTTGAAAATTTGAGGTTTTGATCAAGTTGTGTTTGGACATACATTTTATTCCGATTCAGTTTCTGAAAACATGAAAATATTCATAAGATATATCAAATTTCATGATAAAACATATATTTGAAGATAAAATTTCAAAATCTAGTCCCAAAATTTATGGTCAAACGCAGGAGAAAATGAACGGATATTATTCATTTTTAACCTTCAACGAGCTCTCCGAAATTGTTGAAGGCTTTTCTTAAGCTATCTTCAGTTGTGCGAAATGAGAGTCCTACAAAACGAAAATTCAACAAAAAGTAGAAAATAGCAAAAATAGTGTACTAATGAAAAATCAAAAGAAACTGACCGCTAACAAAGAGCTTAGTTGAGGGATTGAAATTGACCGGAGTTCCCGAGGAAGAAGACTGAGTATAACTAGCTGATACAATAATTTGGGCATAACGAATTGTTACCGACTGAGAAAGAAGAAGATGCTTTGATTCTTTTCTAATGGAAAACGATGACAATGGTAGCTGTGACTTTGCATGCAGAGTAGCGCCGGGGTACGCTGCCGCCATTACTATGGCCGCCATTTTTCCTCAATTGTTACTGGAATAATGAAACTGGATAATGGGTCGTGCTTTGTGTGCCCAGAATCCAGATTCTCGAGCAGTTCCTGGTTCGGACTCGGGTCAGAACACAGAAGAATGATGGGTCAGATTTGGACCCGTTTGGCCATAGAGGAAATTACCTTTACTTTATTATAAATACATTCATACATATTAATTATCTTTTACTTACGAATAATTACGTATCTTACTACTAATTAAGAGTTTTTTTTACTGTGATGTCCATTGCAGCTCCACACATTTCGACTAATTTCACTGGATACCTATCACCTCTTACCGACATCAGTAGTAGTGGCGTAGCCACAGCCACCCCAAGGTGTACAATTGGACGCCTTTCGTCAGAAAATTACGTTGTATATATGTCAAATTCTACCTTTATATGATATATATTTAAAGTTGAACACCCTTGACAAAAGCTGCCTTTGGCGCAGTGATAATGAGTGTCCATTTGAATGAATGAGTTTCGGGTTTGAACCTCAAATATCACAATATATTTTTATTTTATTTTGACAGCCACACACCATTATTCTTGGACACCCTTAATAAAGTTTCTGGCTCCGCCACTGATGAGTACCAAATACCTTTGTTCACCAATAAAAAAAAAAACTTCTTTCATTTACTTTTGTTTGTTCATTTTGAACGTTGCAAGTTTTTAAAGAAATAATAAGTAATATAAATATGTTATCATAACATTCATATTTAAATTAATATATAATATTAAGTCTAGTTAATATTTTGGAGAATAAATAATTAATATTGAGGTCAATTTTTAAATAATGTCGTCATTTTTGGATATTAATAAAGCACTCAAAATTATTATATTTACGAAATTATATTGGAAAAAAGGAAGAAGAAAGAACTAATCAATATACCAAAAATACTTTAAAAATGGTAAGTAGGATCCAACACATTCCAAAAATTACTTTAAAAAATGGTAAGTACACAAAATCTAAAAGGGTCCAGCACATTCTAAAATTAAATATTTCGAGATTTGTAGCTATTTTAACTTGGTATCTAATTTAATTCAAATAAATCTAAAATAAAAATAATTTTGATTTTGTTGAAAACTTTGCCTATAAATAAAGATCATCTCTTTCACATTTTTTCATCAATCTTATATCATTTCTTGGTGAGTATTTAAAGCGCAAGATGAATGTCTCAATTGTACTATAATTGATGATAGAAATGACTAAATTTTAGATCATAAAAGTGAAGGATAAGAGGAAAAATCATCGTTCTCCACCTTTAAAAAAAAAATAGTCAATTTTTGTCTTTGTATCATTCTATAATTGGGGCATATCATATCCCCCTTCCTATAAATAAATTTGCTTTTTTCTCATTTTTTACATCAATATTGTATTATTTCTCTGTGAGTGTTGTTAGATCAAATTCAATATTAAAGAGAATAATGAATGTCCCAATTGTATGGTGATTGACCATAGAATTGATTAATTTTTAAGATCTTGAAGGTGAAGGACATGAAAAAATAAATAAAATATTATCCTCTATTTTCAAAACGATCTAAAAATAGTCAATTTCCGTCTTCTATCACTCTACAATTGGGGCATATCATTACTCTCTTTTCATTGAATTCAAATCCATTATCGGCAAAGAAATTGCAAAACGAGACTTATGAGATAATCATTCTTAGGCGGACTTTGATTTTCATTTCAATATTAGATAAATTCAATTATTTTTTGTTCATTTGAAAAATGAGAAATTTAATCTTTTTTCATAATTCAATTTTGATTCTTTATCAGGTTACAATAGCAACAACAGAAGATGGAGAGAATCAAGAATAGTCACTATACTTTTGAATTAATTCATCAAAAAAAAAGTGCAACATAAGTCGAATTTTACAAAATATATTTGTTAAAGACTTAACGAAGAAAGAAGTTTAATAAACTCTTTAAGGACTTTAGAAGTAAAAACCTTTCCTCATCTAATATTTACATTAACTTTATAATACATGACACGCTTGTATATACATTCTTATCATCGAATCATAATTAATTAATATATATTTTTATTTCTATTTTAAAACTTAATAATAATAATAAATTAATATAAATATTGGGTGAAAGTAAGTTTTTATCGATTCCAAATTCTTATTCTGGGATCAAGTCATCTGGTCTAAGTTATAAACCCTAAAACTATTAGATTAGCGCAAGTTTTAAACTAATAGTAATATTTTTAGTTCGTATTTTGTGAATTAAATTTCATAATATAATTGAAAATTTTAAATATATAACTCTTATATTTTAAGAAATAAAATTTACATATTTAAAATTTTATAAAATAATTATTATAAATTATAATAATTTAAAAGTATATTTAAAGATTACTGTCAATAAAAACTCATATATCTCAAAATCAGAACATCATTTTATAAATTGAAATAGAAGAAATAATAATTTTTAAACAAATACTTATAAATACATTGCACCTTTTTAAATTACAAACGAAACGTTTAAGAAAAAAAAAAGTAGAAACAGAAAAGATGCCATGATTCCGCTATAAAAAGCACATAAAAAATAGTGAAAGAAAAGGTCATCTCTGTCACCTTCTCAGTCTCCGATAAGCCCATTGTCTTCTCCGTCGCCATTTTTACGGTAAGCAATAAATACTCTTTTATTCTTAATTGAAGTTTCGTGTTCAAGTATTTTTAAATGGAGTGGTCTCGCTTTTACATATAAGTGAGACTTCTCGGCACGAATTCAGATTAGTCGAGTCCAAAGCATAGATTATAGCTTAGTCGGGCCTCAAAGCGAGTACACAAAATGATCACTGGGCCTGAGATTTGAATCCTAGTCTCTAATGATTAATTCTAGCTTCATTGACTGCTTGGCTACACCAATTTGTGACTAAAATAACGATTTAAACCTTATAGTTTTGCTAATTGTTTACATTATTTGCTTCCTACTAGCTGAAGCAACAATAGGTTTTATGTTGCTATTCATCATGTTTAAACAAGGTATCTGCTGAAACTTTTAGTTCATCATGCAGCAATAGACACAATTGAACCTAAAATTAAGAAGGCAACTTTCTAGAAAACACAACAATGAAATTTTTTTGGTACCAAACAAATCAACTATGCTTCAATCCAATGTATTAGTGGGGATGGCTTTATGAGTCCTTAGTATCCATATCACTCATCAGTTTTTGGATGGCTTATCATAGTTGGATTATTTTACTATCTGTTGTTTTTATTACTATCTATTATCTCTTGTACTTTTGGAAACAACCGCTTTAGCTCCACGAGGTAGTGGCAAGGTTTGCATACATTCTACCCATCCCAGACCTTACTTGTGGCCGTGTGGGATTTCAGTAAGTATGTGGTTGTTGTGTCTCTCGTATTTTCATTATGTCTTTTTCTAGATTGTTTTTGTCTTGAACTGAGGGTCTATTGGAAAGACCCTCTCAACTCACCTTTGAGGTAGAAAAAAGGGTTAACAGTCACATGGTTGAGCATTTTAGTTAGGTTTTAAAAGGAAGCTTGTCACTGTGGATCTGAATGGGATGTTCAACAGAGAGAAAGAGGCACTAGAGCTATGTGCTTGGGGATTAAGTGCCAAAAACTGCACAGTGGTGGATAAAGTTTGGAGCTTTATCTATATGTCTGTCATAGTAGATATCAACATTAGATTTGGATAACAGATCAAACAACTTAGCTTTAGGCTTATTTGTGAAGCAACAGTTTAATTAGATATATGAAATTGATCATCAAAGCACACTCATACTCTAAATGACTTAGTGTTATTAGTTGTGTAGGAATAACCATATATTTTGGACCACTTCCGTAGTTTTCCAAACCTATGTTACATACGCACTTCATTTTTCTCAACGTATCCATGAGAATGGATTACCCCTTGGGGTGCGGTCCTTCCCTAGACTCTGCTGACTCGGGATGCTTTGTGTATCGGGTTACCCTTTTTTGCTACTTTGCATGATCCTTAAACATACAGTTAAAAGACTTACTAAAAGTTGAGCATACTCGGATTGGATACATACCTGTTCCAAATCTTGTACATGAGACAATTACATAGTGACCTACAGAACTCTGCGATTTGTTTTCATATATGTGGTTTTCCAATTGCTATACTGCTCCATTGCCACTTTCTGAAGCTGCAATTCTCCTCTTAGTTTACATGGTAGTAACTTTTGTTTTACTTATCTTCTTACACTTTGTCAAGTTCCATTAACATTTCTCAGAAAGCCGTAATCCAACTTTTACCCATGTTCTTGCGCTAGACCAAGGAATGTTACTGTCATGTTTTTAATCTTTTCTATCCTTTAGATTGAAGGTCCTCACAATGTGTAGAACTTTTTCATCTCACACCTCCTTAGTCCTTTGATTAAAATTCGACATGATGCAAATGGTTATTTCTTGATGTTTTGTTTTTCTGGTGCAGGCAGCCTTTTGGTTTTCATCATGAAGGCACTCATCCTTGTAGGAGGTTTTGGAACAAGGCTGAGGCCACTGACCCTCAGCGTGCCAAAGCCGCTAGTTGACTTTGCTAACAAGCCCATGATACTTCATCAGGTTTCATTCCATCATTCCTGTTTGTTTATGATGGATCATAAATTCCTACATCCTCTGTTATTTCTTGATTATGTAATACTTCTATTCTATAGCCTCATTCCTCATCATTGGGACTAATATAAACCCCGTTTTTCCTATTAAACTCAAAACGTTATCTTAACCATGAACCATTTGATCTTGTTAGCATTTTGAATCAAAATCATTCAGTTATTTTCCCGCTTCTTCTATTCTTCGGGTGGCATACATTGATTCCTTTGCTAGTTGAGTTAGTATGTTGCCATGATCAGACACTTCTCTTGTATCTCACGCCTTCTACTTGGGAATCAAAGTAACGCATATCCGTCATCCATTGATAGTTGGTACTAGAGTACTACACTTTTTTGTTGACGGAAGCTTTATTATGCACGAGTTGTAACAAAACTA